TGACCTCCAAAACCGTATCTTGATCTAATGCAGCAATGACATGGTGAAATTTTGTATTTTCTGCAGTAATTCTCTTCGTAGTAAATACTGATTCCACTTGAGCAAACCATAGCTTTGCGTCATTTGCCCAAAAACTAGGTAATTTAATATTTACTGATAAAACTGCTTCATTGTTTTCATTCATGGTTCAAAACGGGGTCACCAGTTATTGTGTTGTCTGAACACAATATTTCAAATGAGAAAATACTTCTCTGGAAGAATTAGGAGCAATTCAGTTAATAACTTTTTAATAATAATAATAAACAAAAACGAAATTATTTATCTCCACAACCTTGCCTAACAACTAACCAAAGCTAACTACACACAAAAAAATAAACAATAATAAAAACACAAAGGTAAAAACACAAAGGTAAAAACATAAAGGTAAAAATACAATAGTAAAAACACAAAGGTCACTACAACCACTCTTAGAATTAATTGTAAGACTGGTAAACTATTTTATATGGTTTAGATGAGACTCTTATTAGTTAAAAACCACGTGAACACTATTAGAATTAATTGTAAGACTGGTAAACTATTTTATATGGTTTAGATGGGACTCTAATTAGTTAAAAACCACGTGACCACGCTTAGAATTAATTGTAAGACTGGTAAACTATTGGGGTACGGAAAAAAGGTCGAATTACAAAATGTCGAATTGTCACAAAAGCAAAATGTCGAAAATACAAAAGGTTGAAAATACAAAATGTCGAATAAAAAAAGGTCGAAAATAAAAAAGGTCGAATAACAAAAGATCGAATAACAGAAGGTCGAAGATACACTAGGTCGAATTACAAAAGCTCGAAGAGCAAATAGTCGATAATACAAAAGTTCGAAAAACAAAAAATCGCAAATACGAAAGGCCGGAAAAACAAAATGTCGAAAATACAAAAGGTCGAAAATACAAAAGATCGAAAATATAAAAGATCGAATGAGAAAAGGTCGAATAACAGAAGGTCGAATAAAAAAAAGTCGAAAACAAAAAGTCGAAAATACAAAATATCGCGTTGGGGGTGGTAAGTTTATAGTTTAGTTTGGGTTAGTTTGTGTTAGTTTGTGTTAGTTCACTTTATTTAGCAGCCCTTCTCATTTAACTAGTCTTGTATGTCCAAATTCCAATTTATCTCGCTCGGACCCGTAATTTTCTCCTTCGAATTTGAAAGTCGTAGTTTTTTTATTTTATTTTTTTGTAACTTAGTGAGGCAAAAAAACGTCAATATCCGCATCTAAATTGAAACAAAAACATTTTTATTAACGATATATCAACTAATTTTTATCGAAAATATGTTAATTTTTGAAAGTGTCCTCTCTGACGTTTCACTATAGGAATTTACGGGATCGGGAAGTAAAAAGGAGTGCATGAGTCAGAAACGAAGATTGGGTTAATTACAAAAGTGTACAGAGTTTTGGTTAGTTTAGTTTAGTTTTGGTTAGTCAGCGTTAGCTAAGGCGTTATAGACTGTGAGATAGGGGCTGTTTAGTGGAGTCATTTTTTTTTGTCTGGCATTTCGAGGGCTGCCTCCCGTTCGAAAATTTGCAGAAGAAAAAAATTGATTTACATGAGGATTTTTTTTTTAATGATCTCAAATTTTTTGGCTTCTAAATAAAAGATTGACATTGATAAATAATTCACCCATAAAAAATACCAGATGCTTTTCAATAGCTGAAAAAGTGGGGATGAGTGTCAACTTCCAAGAGAAAAGAAAAGAACCTTCCGCGTTTACTTTTTGTCGGGTAATCGAGAGAATGGAAGGGTTTGTTGTAAAAATATCGCTGAAAAATCGCCAAACGGTAATTCCTGTTCGAAGTCGAATTTTTCCGGCGAAACATTCTGTGGACATTTCGAACAGGTGGCAGGCACTAAAACTACCTATATTCTCATCAGCTAACTAACCACATTCATCCCTCAAAATGCCAGACAAAAAAAAATGACTCCACTAAACAGGCCCTATCTCACGGTCTATTAGTATGTGGAAAAGAAAGTAGAAAGAAAAAAATATTGTATTTTCGACTTTTTATAATGTTGACAACTTGTATTTTCGACATTTCTCAATTTCTACCTTTTGAAATTAGTACTTTTGTATTTCGATCTTTTGTATTTTCGACGTTTTGTATTTCGACTTTTTGTATTTTCGACATTTTGTATTTTCGACATTTTGTATTTTCGACATTTTGTATTTTCGATCTTTTGTATTTTCGACCTTTTGGATTTTCGACCTTTTGTTATTCGGCCTTTTGTTATTCGACTTTTTGTTTCGACCTTTTGTTATTCGAGCTTTTGTATTTTCGACCTTCTGTTTTCGACTTTTTGTATTTCGACCTTATGTTTTCGACTTTTTTTCCGGGACTCGCTCATGGGTGCACCTGCCCCGATGCCCCCATGTAGTCGGCGCCAGTGTCACAAGGTAACTGGGCTGCCATCAAAAACGGCTAAAGCCAAGCCAAAATTGGCATGTTGCGTTCAAGTTCGGCTTCAGAGTGCGAAAAACGGTTGACTTTACAGGTTCAAAATCGGCCGCGGTAATAGTTATTTTTCTAACAAGTGCGGAAAGTGATACTTTCCGACACGCGACTGCCGTTGACCCAAAGGACGCGAAGCGGAGTTCGGGCAAGCAGTCGAGTTCGGGAAAGACACTTTCCGCATGAGTTAGGAACATTATTTTTTCTACGAGCGCGTTCAAATATAAAAACAAAAACTAAGTAACTTCAAAGCGATATAATATTATTAATGAAATCGTTTAATTACAAAATTACTTATTTTTATATTTTTACGTTTACTTTCAAGGATGATTGAAAAAAATTATGTATTAAATCGATTTCATGTTGCAATAAACAAAATTTCTAAAGTAAAAAAACTGCCTCGCCTCAAAGGAACCAAAAAGTCAAACAATGTCAAAAAAAATTATAAAATTTTTGAAAGATCCACAAATTAGATTAATAAGGATTAAAATAGGAATATTTCAAATAGTTTATGAGCGCATAAATTAGTGTATATCTAGCAAAAATGTATGCAGACAAAATTGATAAAATGTTTCATTAATTAACAAAACTGACACTTCTGAACGCCACTTTCCCGCACGCCGTGCGGGAAATTGACACTTTCGGAACTAAGATGCGTGCGGGAAAGTTATAAAAAATGCACGCTCGTAGAAAAAGTAACTTTTGGAGGTGCTTTCAACAAAAAGCTTCTAGAACGAAAGTGGAAGTGGTGAATAGATAATACTAACGCTAACGATCTGGAAATAATAAATTTAGGAATTAGGCAATCCAACGACCTGTCCAAATGGCGTCTGCTTGGCAAATAATAAACAAAAAACATATGTTTTTATTTTGACGGGATTAAGCCTAGTACTCATAACCGCGAAATTCGCTCTTTTTTGACGTTTGATTCACACATAAAACGTCAAATTGTCGAAGCAATGTCAAAAAACAGCGAATTTCGCTGTTATGAGTACTAGGCTTTATCAATACTGACATCGTTGACATGTAACAATCCGTATTCTAACCTCATAAAAATTTCAAAATGCCGGCTGGTTGGCAAAAGTCACGTGGTTTGGATTCCCTAATTTTTACAAAAATTAAAAAATAGGCAAACCAGGTACAAATTTATAGGTTAATTTTGATGAGAAGTGTCATGAGAATAGGGAAACGGTATTTGGCGTTCCAGCAAATTCACACCAGATTTGGCATCGCTGGTAGAAGGGGAAAAGTAGGTTTTGGCATTAGCATTGCCGTCCTTGAACGCACTCCTAGTTCTCTTCCAAAAACGGTTCTGGCTGGGCTGGACTTTCACCTGTTGACTCGTGAACAGCGGCTCTGTAAGCCATTAAAAATAGAGGCAAATGCTTGTCCCAATCTCGCTGGTTCGTTGCGACCACTTTTGTCAGGTCTTATTGAATCGTTTTACCATACCATCAGACTGTGGATGTGAAGGTCCTTGTCTTACAAATACCCATCCACAAATTTTCCTAAAGATGGCAGACTTGAAATTCCGTTCCTGATCTGAATGCAACTCTAGTGGCACACCATGACGACTGAAAACTTCGTCCACTAGCACCTGGGCAACAGTGATGCCTTCTTGATTGTCTTTAATTTCTTGAACATCTTCTTTAACTTCGGCTTTCACTTCCCTAATCTTTTGTTTCAGGTTAGTGATAAATCCTTGTATGGTTTGAAAGATTTTCTGCAGTTGTCATTTATCTTCTTGGTCTTTGAATGAAGTTCCAAACACGTCGGTGAAGTCACAAATTGGATAACTTGCTTTATTTCCGAATGTAATGTTCTAGAATTTTCCTGAAATGACTTTTCTCTTCTCTCTTATTCAACGTTACTATAACACTTCGACAGTAATTACTTCACTAATTAGGTCAACCAACTTAACTGTTACGTTACAATATTCACTAACTAAATGGAACAACTGCCAAACCAAAAACTACTAACTAATCTCGGCCCTTATATATCCTGTAAAATCCAGAAGAACGCAATAGTCTTTTTCCCGAATAATGCAGTACCTACGTTCTAGAATCAGCTATGCGATTTCGTGCGCCCTGGCGGAGGCACAACATATTCTTTATACTATAATTTTATAAATACGCTAAATAGTTGAAATCTTCATCGAAAAATCTTTATAGAATATTATCTAATCTATATGTAAAGTTCTGGGAAACCCAAGTATGACGCTTGGCTATACGGGTAGCTATACTTCAACATCATCATATGAATTGTTTTTCGTCAGTCTAGTTGGCCTCCCAAGATCACAATGAATTTTTGAACAAGGATACTACTATGTCGTTAATCATGATACTATGCTAACCTAACAAAATATGTAGGTAATGCCGATAATAACTCTCAAGTATCGATTTCCAGAAATGATTAACGACCATGATACTGGTTAGCATAAACCTTTGGTTATCTCAATGAAGAATTATACGTCTGTTACTTTCAATAGGTAATTTATATTTGCACATCAACCTTTTATTTAGAAGTGGAATCATTACATCTATGAAGTTAATAATTAATTATAGAATAACAATAATTTCAGGAGAAACTTCTAATTACAAACAATAATTGAAATGTTACGCCATATGTATTTATTTGCATTATGATTATTTTATCAAAATACTTTGATGTTCGTAAATCAGTTTATCCAAATTGGAGAAAGTTAAATAAATAAATGGCGACAAGTACCTATATAAAATAAATTAAACCTTTTCATGTTTCGTAAGTAAGTAACTTCTAAAGCAATAGTTTATCATTGGAAATGGAAAACTTATTAACATGAATTATTATAAATGTGTAAGAACCTAAGTTTGGTAGTCTAAATCTCAGTGGCTGTTTGTTATTTTTTTTTCGGAGTTGGCCCAATTCTAAAACGAATAAAAACAAATTAGTCCAGCGGCATTGTTATCGGTGACGAGTCCGCGATAGTCAAAATGTCTGAAAGAATAACGAAATGTTATTCCTCAAACAAATTCAATCACAAACGCTATTTCGGAAAAATATGCAAGACAAAAAAGATGGATTCTACTTACTCCCTTCAATAATCGGCTCAACAAGTCGTCTGGATCCTCATCTGTGACGGAATCATCGCTGTACCAATTTATATCAGCTCGGCGCAATTTTTTCCTGGGAATTTGTGACTTTGCAGTGTCTGGTGCACAGCGTATTTTTGGCTTAGGTGGTTCTTCTAGAGCACTTTGCTGTACAGGAATTGGTTCAATTCTCTCTTTCCGTCCCATCTTTGCTTTGAGGTGTTTTATTCTCGTATCAGTTTCTTCCTTGGCCTTATTGATAGTTGCCAGCTTTTTATTGTTGGCCTCCTTCTTCTGACGCAATTCTTCCAACTGAGTTTCCATTTGTATATTTTTGTTATCCAGATCTGAGGACTCCTCTTCCTCCAGCACCGAGGTCAGTTTTTTTTGGTGTCCTTGGATTTTCTGGGACATCGTATTTTCCATTGAAAAAATGTTTTGTTTTCCTGCTTCAGTTTGATCGTCTATTTCTTTGCTGGATTTTGAAATAGCATCTGTTGCTCCTAATTCATCATATTGTTCGAAAATCTCTGAACTGCTTATGTTTAGAGGATTTTTTTGATCTTTTATGTCATTTAATTCTAGCGTCAATTTTTCGATTTCGGATCTATTGTCTTTGATTCTTTCAACGTCTTCTTGTACTAACTAAAAAATGATTTATATTTTACAGAGAAACACTTTGAAGAAGTTCCAAAATTGGGAAAGAAATTTAAATTATTGCTTCCACAAGTTCCAGAGATTATGAGGAAGAGATCTCCTTTACCTTACTGATCCTTGCTAGCTCATTTGAATCGGCGTTGCGCAATTCTATTTTTTCAGCATAAGTAGTAGCAGCCTTTTTGTTTTCCGATTCTAGCTTAGAGAAAGTATCTTTTTCCAGAGTGCCTGCGCAATCATCGTCCAACTGTTTATCTTCTTGTTCCAATTTTTCCAACGACATTTTTTTGTCCATTAGCGAGGCCTTTAGGTTTTCAAAATCTTGCACAATTAGTGGCATCTTGCATTTGATCTTGTTTCCCCTAATTTATACATTTATAAAATTTACAAACAAGTGAGTATAGGATAAAAATTACCTTGCTTCCAAGTCCGAAAGGGCTACCTCAAAATCTTTTTCCGTTTTTGCTTCAAAAGCATCGAATAGTTGAGTTTCTCGTTGAATTTTTATTGATTTCTCATCAGCAAGTCGCAATTGGTTTTCAAGATTGGTAATTTCAGTTACCAGCTTTTCTTCGTCAATTTCGTAGTCGTTGTCAATTGCATCTTGTTCGCAAATTTTTGTTGATTCAATTTTCTTGTTCAGGTCCTCCATTCTAGCAGCTGTTTTCGTTAATCTTTGATTTTGTCGAGCTTAAACGATATCATCAATAGTTAATATTTGTTGAAATGCTTCCTATATTTGATGAAATTCTTAGAAAAGCGCAATCTCAGGTTTAGACAACAGAAGGTGAAGCTTGAGACGCGAGTGCAACTTAGAAAATATTCCGGATGCCAGATTTGTGGAACTATTTAGGAACATACCTAGAATAAATAAAGATATTTTTCATTTATAACATTGATTGTGGCTGACTACAAGACAAATACAATACAAGGTACAAGTGACAAGAGACAAAAATATAATAACACGTGTATCAATCAGGCCCTGCGATCTCTCATTGCCAGTTATAAACCACATAATAACTCTTTTCCGTTTTTCTAGATGTCACTGACAACCACAGAATTGTCAAAATTGGAAAAAACCAGCACATCAAGAACACGTCCGATGTCGATAACTGACATGTCAACATATGACAATATGCCAAAATATTAATTTGATCTAACTAATAATTCATCATGTTTTTTGTTCGCCGGTCTTGCATTTCATCTTTCTTTGTGTTGTCAAGTGTTCTCAAGTTGTTTTGTGTGTTTCAAGAAGAACTTCTAACTTTATAGATTGGAAGATCTATTTTTATCTTTGTTGATTAGATAAATGACAGGTTCAATTAAACATCAATCAGAACTTTGAATAAATATGGTAAGGATACCCTTAACCATCGACAAAGAAACTGTCTTTTGATCTAATTAACAAATTATCAATTAATTTAAGCAAACATTAATGCCCCAAAGTCTAGAATAAACGAATTTGAACAGACCGACAGTAATGCGAACAGGGCGCCATCTATCATAAAAAGTCCTATGTGAAGTAGGTGACTGTAGCATCGATGCAAAACCAGTAAATAGTGATTTTCCGATATGGTAGATGGCGCTGGCTTGGCTCAATTTTGTTGACAACAAAATTTACACTGAGATTTAGTATTTATCTCTGGGGGCCAATTTTTGACAATATACGTTAAATTGCGTATTCGAAGATTTGCGAACAAAAATAAACGTATACGTATCTATAAACCCATTTTTGACCGGTGTGCGTAAATGGATAAACGTAGATATTGCGAATTCGTAAACATACGTATAATTGATTTGGCAACGTCGGAAATTTTAGAATGTTTGACAAATTTTTGACGTGTTTTTGCCTTTTTAAATATTTGACGAATTGTGGATGTTTACGATAGTGGTAAATTATGGAAGAAAGCCAGTGACAAAAACTTAAAGAAAAGGGGTGCGAATGCCAGTGAAAAGCAAAAGAAACTTGTGAAGTATGTGAAAAGCAAGCTACAGCTAATCCGGTTGATAGCTACGGCTTGCGAAAAATTTCAACGCGTAATTAAGACCCATGAGTAGTACCGCATTAAACTAACTGTATAACAAACATTGCAAAACAACCTTCTAAATAAAATTCATTTCCTACTTTAGTCAAGACATCTAAATCTGTTGGTCGTTGTGCCAGACATGTATGAGGTTCTAAACATTCAACCAAATAACTAACAAGCTCTTTCGACAATCAGAACATATTAATAGGGTGTTTATTTGTAATTTGTACTGCTTTTCCTGCTTCAAGCAGATCTCAGCAGCAGATCAGCGTTCACCTGTCTCATATAAGCTCATAAATAGCAGCTCCTAGCAGATCTTCCTAATTTTTCGAGCAGGTAGAACAAGCAACACCCTTTAAAAAACTGTCTTTGGGCCGGTTTCTCAATAGCAAGTCATCCCCGGGTTAAGCATAACTCCAGGGTAAACATTGCAACTGGACACGTTTAACCTGGAGTTAAAACCAACCTGGAGGTGACTCGCTATTGAGAAACAGGCCCTTTGGTTTAGCTCTACGAATGGATCACGGCGGTTATGTCGATGGTTGCGCCGATTTCGTATCTCTGCGTTTTCCAAATAATGAATTGCCAGCACATTCATCAAAATTTCCATATTATAGTCGATACGCCTTGTAATCAAGAAGACAAGACGATAGAGCACATTCTCTGTGACTGCACTGCTCTTTCGCCAATACTCAGAGCCAGATTAGGCCAATCGTACCAATCACTAGAAGAGATCTGAGGCACCGCCTTCAGCGACGTCATCGCCTACGTAGAATCGCTAGGCTGGGTGACGAGCTAATGATGACCTCTCCTCTTGTGAGGGCGCACAATCGGCATAATTGTGGCCTAAGTGCTGTAGCATACCTTATATACCACCCTCCCAGATACAGAGGTAGTAGATACACAATAATTCAATAATAAAATAGCTATCAAACAAATTGACAAGAAAAAACAACCTAACATCCCCACTTGACACAAGAAAAACGAATACGCAAACCGAATTAGGCGACTAGAATACCGCTCGCAGAAAAGCGAATGAAAATATGCGCATACGAAACTTTGCGAACGGCCAAAAATCGGAATTTGTGACTGTTCGCAGATTTAGGAACAATCTACATACGTTTCTATATTTGCGAACGGTCAAAAATTGACCCCCTGGTATCAATGCTATAACCCAGAATAAATGGATACATGATACAATTGACTTGCCATGCCACGAAACATTTTCGATTTTTTGGTATTTTGTATCTGTCTCTTGTACCTTGTATTTGTCATTGTGCAGAGATCCATTCCCGTTTCTCAATAGCGAGTCACCCCCAGGTTAAGCATAACTCCAGTCTCCAGGGTAAACATTGCAAGTGTACACGCTTACCCGAGCGCTTACCCTGGAGTTTAAACCACTGATCTCAAAAATAAATGGATAAACAAAGCAAGGGCGTAGATATGGGGCGGGGGGGGTAGAGGGGGTAATTCCCCCCCCCAGATCTGTATTTTTTTAGTTAAAAAAAAACAAATATTTTATTAGATGAAAAATATTGGGGCTTCCGGGTTAAGTAAAATATTATTATCAAATAAAAATTCTTTGTTCTTGTTCTTTGTTTTTTGCAAGTTGCAAAGCTACCTGCTAGAATGAGTATAAATTTATTTTTAGAAAACTGTATTATCTATTACTGTGGCCGAGTTCGTTTTTGTCATCTTTTCCGTCGATTTGCTCCGAAATTTTGACAGGCACGTGTTTTGTAAATTGAAACTGTCTGATCCAGTCACGTACTTGTCAAAATTTCGGAGGAAAACGACGAAAAAGATGACAAAAACGAACTCGGCCTATATTCCGTTAGTAAAAGTTGTGCTGCCCCAGTACCACACTAACACTGAATCAGTTTAAGTTTAGTACATTTCCAGAAGAACATGCATTTGGCCATTTACACGATTCTATTGTTTTTTTCTTCGATCTGCGTTCGGCTTACGTCAGCGCCGTAGCAAGGCATTGATGGGCCCTGGTGCCACTTTTGTTAGAGGGCTCCCTTCCCTAGTAAATTTTCGGGGATAATACCACGAGAGCTTCAAAGTTACCAAGAATTTTTCACGATTGCGCGTTTTCTTTAATTTCGCGAGTCCGTAGGACGAGTGAAATTTGCAGAGAAAACACGCATTAGTGAAAAATTAACTGGTTCATTTTAAAGCTCAAGTGGTATTTAGAGGATTATTTCACGTATGAGAATGCAAAAAATATGGAAATAAATATGTATTAAACGATTTGAACATCTTAACAATCAATACAAATAAATGGTTGCTATCAGGAACCGTTTGTTTATATCAAAAATTAGCATGACAAACATGTATACAATAACATGGGAGAATTATCGCTGTAATTCTCTCTAGTTAAACAAATGGAAAAGAGAATTTTCGCTGTAATTCTGAAAATCGTCACTTGTCTTATGGGATTTCTAACACATAAGTGGACCCACATAACAAAATTGCATCCTTAGAATGTATTAAGAATGTTCTTTTTTCAGGAGGAATGTGCCTAGAATGTTCGCCAAAACCATTGCGTATGTCCTGAGAATGCTCTGAGAAAAGATTGTAGAAATACTGTTTGCAATACCCAAGAACTTCCTGAGAAATCCATTAGGATATTCCTAGAATATACCTATGAGATTCTCAGTACATCCTGAAAAGAATATTCTTGTTTGATTCTAAAAATATGCTCGATATTTATAGGTATCCTCACATTCAAAGAATGTTTCTATGACATTGTAGTTATGTTCTCAAAAGAATATTATACCAATATGCTTGAAATATTCTTAGAATATATCTACATATATCATTCTCAATATGCATCCTAGACATAACATTCTTGGTTGATTCTAAGGATATACTTGGAATGTTAAATTTCGCTTCCAAATAATGCTCCTTTCAGCCCTTTTATATTAAAGGCAGTGAAAGAGTTGTTGGAAAACTTCTCTGGAAAACACAAGTATTTAACCAAAGCTCCGGTTTCGAGCTTGTTATGCTCTCGTCGAAGCACGCCAACTGAGAGAAACAGGTTCCAAGGTGATTCAAACGCGAGGTAAGATGTAGATCTTTAATAGCGCGTGGCTCCCTCTCTTGGAAGTCCTACAAAGCGAAAGGAAAAGAATATACCTATAATATTCTTAGTAGGTTCTAGATAGAGCATTATTGTTTAATTGTTAAATTATGATTATGATTTCAGATAATTAGGTGAACAATATGGAAATATTCTTATCATGGTTACCTACCTACATAAACTTCTCAGCACAACTTGGTAGGTATATTCTTAATACTTGATAGAGATATTAGCCGAAAGAATATTTTTTAGGGTACATTATAATAATGTTCGTATGACAATATTCAAAGATTGTTGTATCAAGTAGGTTCTTAGCACAATCTTTCAGGTAGGTACATAGAAGCAACATTCCTAGTACATAAATAGAACGTTTAGTAATGAATATTTCAATCGAAACAATCTTAAAATATTCATTAAACACTCCTAAAAGAATATTCCAAAAAGCACTTTGAGGGAATATTCTGAGAATATGAATGTTCTTTCACTGTTATGTGGGGAATAATCTAGATAATTTAAGTTTTCCGGGGGGGTATAAAGAAAATTACGAAAAATCCGAAGATTCCGAAGTGAGCGAA